TATGAAGCGCGACGACGGAGACAGAGAGAAAGAGCGAGACGAGAGAAGAGCCAGTAGTCGAAGAAAGAGGCGACTAACCACCAGGAGAACAGTCGCGGAGGAGCGAGAGGCGAGAGAAGGTGGAGGTATGCTGCGCAGCCGTGGGAACCGACTCCCGAGCCAGTATGCCTATCTCCTTCTCTCGAATCGAACGAGCCTCTCTGTTCTTTTCCTTTTCATCATCCAGGTTCCTCCTCCGTTGTCTCTCTTTCACAGCCATTTCCCTCCCCGTCTCACCGACCTCCTGTTTCTATCTCACTCTCGTTACCTTACGGTGCGTTTTTTTCTCTCTACTTTTTCCTTCCTTTTCCCTCCTCGGTCTTCCTCCTCCTCGTGTGTTGGAAACGCACCGCTCATCTCGTCTCTCTCTTTCGCACGCGATGGCCCATCGCTTCCTCCTCGTCTCTCCTTCGTCGCTCTCCTCTCGTTTCGGTCGTGGCAGAACTGCTAACCGGCCGCCGAACACACCCAACACATTGTTCTACGGATGCCTACGCGGGCCTTTTTCAGCTTTTTGTCGGCTTAATTCCGATCCCCGTAATAAATTAGCGGACGATCACGGTGGCATTTGTCTCCTCCGACAATTTATTTCCTTCTTCTCCCGCGCTCCTGCCCCCCCCTCGAGGCTGAAAACCGTTTCGTCCTATCGTTCCTTCTCCTTCGTACGGTCGTTCTGGCCTCCAGCGACTCGCTTTCGTCCTTGCCGCGAGAGAAAAGGGCACGTCTTCTCCCTCGGGGCTTTCTTTCGCTTCGCCAGCGTTAATTTTGTCTGGATACTGGAAACGTATTCGTTGCTCTTTCAAGCTGCAATTATAAATCGAACGACAAAGTGAAATATTTCATTCCGACGAAGTATGGATGTAAACAGATACCGATCTCGACAAGGTGCAAGGTTTGTTTACGTCGCTTCTCTGTACAACGAAATCATATGTGCGTTACTTATCCAATACAAAGTAATGATAATTGACGCTGATAACAGCTTGTAGTGTACCAAGCACGGAATTAAATCTTGGATCTTTCAAATCGATTCAAATCGCAATCGATTAAACGTCACGAGTGAATAATAAATACGTTCGCATTCGTTATTCGAATAGAGTTTCAACCTTATTTACACCTTCCGCTCTTCCCATTCGTTTTTCTCCATCGTTTTGTGTCTCCTCTTTTTCTCTTAGCTTCCTCTGCCCTCGTCCCGCGGTCAAATGGACCCCCCTCACCCTTTGGGGCCACAGAATCTCGGGTCCAGGAGAACCGCGGAATCTCGCTGGAACTTTCTAATGTGTACACGCATGTGACATACCTGGCGAACGACCGTGCTCCTCCTCCCCCTTGGTTCTTTTCGTCGAGACAAATTGCCCTGTGCTCCGCCGGTTCCACGGGACACACGGAGGAGAGAAAAATTTTTTTTCTCCCTCTCTGCGCGGTTCAGACCACGGCACACTCAGAGACCACGAAATTGTTTGCCTATGATCTTCCATTCCCATCTGTCGCGGACCAGGAACGTCGAAAGCGCGACGACGTTATTTATTAAGCCTTTTACCGTCGAACGAATGTTTTTTTTTTTTTTTTTTTCCACGGTAATATCTCTCGTCGAGTTTTTACAGATACAAATTTCTGCGCAGTCGTAAAATAAATTCGGCGATTTAATCGTTTCGAAGTTGAAAATAGTAAACGCGATCATTCCGAATGCAATGATATCGGTATTTGTCATTTTTCAGTTTTCTTATTCTGTTTAGTACGAGCGTAAATCAATTCACGAACGTACTACGCTCATAGAATAGTTGCGTGTTCGACGAATAAAATGACACTCACGCAAGCAGGGAAGGGTTAATCTCCGTGGAAACGGTAAGTCGACCGTTTATGCAAATTAAAATCATTCCGCGATTTCTCACCTGGGTTAGCGATTTTGCGTTTAATTATCCTGTCTGGATCTATCACGGGAGGATTGTGACGCAATCCGTTAATAATTATTTCCGCGGGAATACAAGGCGTTATCGATGCTCGTTGCTTATTGCACCGAAAGCAATCGTGTCTCGCGAATCTTCCGCAAACTGGGTTAACGGGTTGAGAGCGTATCGTAGCGGACTATCGGTGTCCGTCGTTATACTTTCTCAGCGATCATTGATGTATCGTATCTCGACATTAAGTTAACAATCGTACTATTTACATATTCATTTTCTAATCGGAATCCTTCCAGAGAAGTCTACTTGGCTTTGTTCGTCGTACAACGCAGCAGAGTTGGTATATCCTCGGGATTTATGTTGATCGAATCCCGAACAACTCGAGATGAAGAAAAGAATCCTGGAGATTTAGCGGGACGGGAAGGGGAACGGAGACAGGATTGACCGGTGGCGTCGTGTGTCGGTGGCCGAGCGCGCGAAACGGATTTCTCACGCGAGTCGGCTGGCGGGGCAATTTTTAATAATGGAATTGTTTCCCAAGCGGCACGTCCGAGCGTCGAGCGGCGCAACTCGTTTACGCGAACAGGAACGAGCAACGATGACAGGGAGGCCGGATATAAACATTTATTATTCACGGTGCGGCAACGACTAACGAGGTCGTGTGTGTAATACCAGCCGCTCCTCTCTCTCTGTGTCAGGTACACACGGAGTTTGCGCGCGTGTGACGTTAATAATTAAACGTCGCATTATCACTGCACGCACACGTACCGAGCGACCGCGTGTACGGCACGTACTTATTACACAATAATACGCCGCTTCGTCCTGGCGGCGTGTACAATGGCAAACCGATGCGTGTGTCGCGGCTGGCGTGGGCCGGCCCGCCTGTTCGTGGTGAGTATCGGTTGCTGGATTTATGGTCGTGCGAGCGATTCGACGCCCACGACACACGGGGGCCTTTCGCGCCTGGATTTCCACGTGGATGTGCGAACGAGCAAATTGCAGCCAGTTCAGTTTCCTTTTTCTCGGAATAGCGCACGCTAACTGGAAATACGTACCGATCGACCGATCGGGCCCTACGTCGAGCCGTCCATTGTTGAGCAATCGGTTTACGTCACGCTGATCCACGCTGTGCTCTGACGTTTTCATTTTTTCTCGTTTGCTTCTTTAGAATCTCGAATTCGATTAATCGTGTCTCAACTCGTACTTGGTCTTTTGTGGTTTTCTCTAGAAAAAGAACCGTTGTCGCGTTTGTTTGTATCACGAGTTCATAAAATCCGCGGTTTTTGAATAAATCAATCTTTTTCCACGTTGCTTAATTTTAAAATTATATGTCAGTCTGTTAATGGAATCGATCACGCATCGTATCGTATCGTATCGGTTAATCGATCGATTAGCGACTACTTTTTTTAATTCGTGCGTCGAGTTAATGGTCGCCTAGCGGGAATTAATAGATCGTTGCGTGCAACAAGACAGTCGTAATTTCTGTTACACAATAGTCGGTCGCGCGTGCCGTCCGTTCTGCATAGGTATATCCATTATGGATTGTACAAACAGTATAACAGGTTTCCTCGGAAAGGCACCGTAAACATTCTCACCGATTAATTCTAAAAACAGCATGGGAAAGGGAGGATTATTTCCAGACTAGTATTCTTTTGCTGATTATTTCAAAGCGACAGCGTGAACAGAAATAATCGTTGGAAACTATCTGTGTAAGAAAAATGTAGAAACTGATACGTTCTTACGATTGAATCCTAGCATTGATTCGTAATAGATTCATCACGTAGTTACGCGCGGTATTATTTCTCATTTGCAATGTCAAAATAGAGAATACGCGCTAGTGTCTATCCACCGCAAAACCATTCAAGATTCCTCTATATTATACTTTATATTTCCAATATCGAGCAAATCGTACAAATCGTAGGAGTAAACCGAATGACGCAAAGAAATTCACATAAAGCATTCTCAAGTACGATAACAAGCGCAAAAAGTTTGATTACGATCCATCGTGTACTTTTCCTGAAAAAAATTCCTAAGGATCGCCCATCTTCTCGACTCGTTACACGAGACTACCCCCTCGAACACTCGCGTTGCTTGCGGATAGAATATTTATTTTCGAGTTGCGATTAACCATCCCTTCGTCGAGGCTGGCCAGCACGTGTCCCGCGCGATTTATATCCGGTGGTCGTTGCACAAAGTCACCCCAACCCTCACGTTTGGAGAGGGACGGCTCGAGCCCTAGTCTCGATAGCCTTCCACGGCAATTCCATCAGGGGTAACACGACGAGTAGTGGATAGGGTTGGCTCCGAGGCTCGTTCCGCTCGGTTCGCGCTCCATCTACCCCGCAACACGTGACCCCGTCGCGTTCCGTCGACTTTTTAGCCACGCTTCGCCGGCCGGGGAGGGGAACAGCCCTTCTAACGCGCGGCAGGTGCGCGCGCGACGCGCCAGCCTCGCCTCGGAACGTTTAATTTATTGTTAATTGCGATACGCGACGGGCACGTGCAGCTGCCGCGTTTTTCGCGCCGAAACCTGAATACTTGCGGAGACGGAGCGTGTCCAGGCATCCAGATTTCGGTTGACTCGTTGTCATCGGTCTCGTACCTCGGGTATCCTTCAACGTGTAATCTAATATTTGCGTTTGCGCTTTCTTTTCTCTTATGTCACAATGGTTCGTATTGAATCTTATTTCGTTTTGCTTCGTTTCATCTTATGGTACTAAATGAAATGCTTCGTTCAAGAAAGGAAATATTGTCGTTATCAACTCCATATCGTAGTACGATGATATTCATATATCAGTATCAAAATCGACGCGATTCAATTAGAGTGTAACTACAAGTGTACCTACAAGCGTAACTACAAGCGTAACTACAAGCGTAACTACCAACAATTGCTACACTAATCACAGTAACAACTACCACACTAGACAATTTCTTTTCGACCATCGAACATTGAACGTGAGAATGGGTTAAATCGGATTCTATGTTGTCCATTTTAGGAAATAATAATTGGAGTAATTTGTTTGGACGCAGCGAAGTTGATCGACTGTTTCTTTCTGTTCCCAGGGTACCTTCTCGCTGATAGTGGAGGCTTATCACGACACGGACAACACGACGCACCACTCGCCCGGTAAGTAACCTTTCTCCCCCGTCTCTTGAAACGCTCTTCCTATTAAGCCTTCCGCGACAGCGAGCGTCGTATCTGGACGGCGTGCGGTGTCTGTATCAGCCGACGCGGCACGAGTGCGCTAGCACGCGCTTCCACTAAATAAAAACAAGAGTACGGAACAGGGAGGGGGAAAAAAACACGAAGGAGAATCATTTTAAAATTAGTCTTTCTCTCTCCCTCACCTCGCCGAGGCCTCCATACGGCTCTGAATACGGGGAAGGTTTTCGATGGTACACGGGCACGTGCAGTCCAGCTGGGTTCTTCGTGGCAGCGACGCCATGCGTCAGGTCCGAACCAGTCGAGAAGCCACTTCCGGTCTCCTTCGCGCACGACACTCACCAGAGACATAACCTTCGCCGACCTGTACTCCTTTTTCCGCTCGTTACTTCTTATGGTTTCGATAGTCTAAACCTCGGGGTGGAGGCCCCTTCCTCCTCGGGGCCTCTTCCTGTGCACGGCTGTACCGCGGACAAATATCGCATCCCTTTTTTCTCTGAGACCCGGCCTCTGGTTAACCTCAAATCTTGGGATTACACTCCGCTGCCGTTTTCAGAGATCGAGGAGAGGCTTGACAGCACGCAGGAGACTACTTCCGGGGAATTGTCTCGGTTTGCGAGTTAGTTGATAGACGGGGGTTAGAGTAGAGGGTAAAACAAACTTGGAAGGCTTCGAGCGCAGAGTTTTCCGAGCATTTCAGAGTTTTTCCGTGCATTTTACCGTTTTTCGAATCTTTAAGTAACCGTCGAACTTAATAGAATTAAAGATTCGAAAAATGGTAAAATGCACGGAAAATAAAACTCTGCGCTCGAAGCCTTCCGAGTTTATTTTACCCTCTACTCTAACCCCCGTCTATCAACTACTCAAAGTAACCGTCAAACTTAATAGAATTCGAGGTCAGAGTGTGTTACAATTCTTAGAGTGTATCATACAACCTCAAACCTTATTCGGAAGTTAGGGTTTCGCAAAACTAAATAACAGTAACAAGTATCGGAGTTTCTTGTATCGTTGTAAAAAATAAAGATACAAATTTTAACATTTCGTATCTTCTTGATTCGAGACTTTTCCAAATTCTAACCTCCGGATCTCCTGCTTCTGCGTTGTTTGAAATTGTCACGCAGCTAGATAGGTAAAAAATCAGTGAATCGCAATGCTCTCTGGTGCATTGAATTCTAACCTCCAAATCGAGTGGCTGAATTCCAGCTTAGGGAACTATTTCTGTACGGTTTGGCAGGTGTAGCTCACGTCCGTCTCGAGCGGCGCGGAACGGCCGATTCGGCGCGGTGCGCGCGCCGCGTACTTCACTCTCGAGACCGTGCTTCGGGCGGCGTAAGAAGAGCGGGACCGTTTAATTTCTTTCCCGAGGTCCTGGTGTCTGCCTGGCAATTAGAATGAACCGGAGACCGGAAGCTACGCGCGGCCGTGCGGCGCTCTCATGCGTGTCGCTCGCGCGCACACGATACATATATCGTCTACCGGTGCGGACCAACGATTCCCAAAGTTCTCTTTTTTTTTCCTCGCTCGTGGTGCACTTTTCATCTCGCGGTAGATGGGTTTTAAAAAGGCAGCTAAGCACGTTTGTCACTCTGTGATTTTCTGAACGTGTGAATCTTAAAAGATATTGATAATTACTAGTTAGTCCATTTGAAATATTAGGTGTAGACATTATTAATAATTACTAGTTAGTCCATTTTAAATATTAGGTGTAGACATCATTTCTGTGCCTATATATCATTCGTTTAATGAATGTAGTAATGTATTAAATACATGCAGAACATAACCAAAAAGTATGTACATTATGTATATATTTTATATCCGTTTTCTATATTATTGTATGGTATTAATGTTACTGGTAATTCAACGTAACAAAATGACGAGTAAATATTTTTTAATCTAAAGGCACAGAAGTCATTCTTACACCTGATATATATATATAAACCTACTCTTTCCATGTTTCTTAAATAATTGCTTCCGGCGAAATTCAACCGAGACGGAGGAAAAAGTATCTCCGAGACCAGTCGTTTGATCGATTCCGGTAGAATTGGGTATAAAATGAAACGTCGATAGATTTACTGTATAATGTTATTCGAACTGAAGTATCGAAGCGGTTAGATACTAGCGGGACACCCTGTACATGAGATACATCCATATCCTCGTCTAACAGAAAGTTTCGTGTTACCGTGGTGTGCCGGTGGAAGCTAGGTGCTACGGTTACACAGGAAGGAAACACTAGTGTCTCCGCCCGGTTCTCTAGCCTCTATATCTCTTTCTCTCTCTCTCTCTCTCTCTCTCTCTCTCTCTCTCTCTCTCTCTCTCTCTCTCCGTTTCCCTCTCCTGTTCCCTCTGTGCGGTCTGTTCTCCGTTCGTTGTGACACAACAGAACTCGGTGAGCTCTGTTGTGCACGCGTGCACGTGGACGTGTCGCGGTAATGAGTAAGGAACATCGGTGAAAACGGGTCGAGAACGGTGGAAAGAGGAGTACGAGCGAAGTGGTAGCTGCGGTACGATCGGACAGAATGCGGGCAGAACGGCGGCGGTCGTGAATTGCGGCGGGAAAACGACGAAACGCGACTAACCACGACAGTAATTGGAAACGAAAACTGCATAAGTTTCCCGCGTTAATCGCGTTACGACCAATTCGACGAATTTTAAATGAAAATTTGTTTACTTTAATCGAATACGAATACTTGCATTCTGACGCGACGCAACGACATTGATAGATGCCACAGGTAGTCACAAACCTGAATTTCAGTTCATTTTTATTCAAATAACTCGTCTCACGAGAGGTTAATCGAATTTGGGTTCTATCGTCGTGCGGTCTAGCCCCAGTGGTTGCACGCGATAACAGCAAACGTTGCTGGCTCATCGAGTCCACTAATTACGCGGGAATCAAGGCCATGGGGATCCTTTGTTCGATGGCCTCCACGGGGAACGGAATTCCGTCTGTTATCCCACAGATGTACCTGCGCATCCGCGGTGAAAAGAGCTCCCATTAATATCCGCGTCTGGTCGGACGCTGTTTGGACACGTTCCGGCCTTTATCGCCGAAACACACCGCTCACATTGTGCCACGGTCTATCGCGTCGTTCGGGTACAATATAATGCCCCCAACGGGCTGGTGAAACGAGCCCTTTATTGCTGTTCGCCTGCTCGGATGCTGCTTCCTTTCTCAGGCCCGCCGACGTCCTCCTTCTCTTTCGTCCCCTCCGCCCTTCTTCGTTGCTCCACGATATGCCCGCTCTTTCTCTCTCTTCCTGGCTCGCTCTCTGTTTACCGTCTGCCCACCTCCGCCGATAATACGCGACTCTCGAAAGCCGTGGACTGCACCTGCGGGACGAGTTATCGGCGAATTATTCGCCGCCCGGGCCCCGACGCTCGGTGACAAATTTTTACCGCCGTCGGAAAATGAAGAAATTTCGCCTGTACTTTTATCGTCCCGCATTCCGCGGTCTCTCTCGCCTTACTCGCGGATGATCGCGACTTTCACCGGGTACGCCTTCTTCGGGTTTTATGGAAAATAGAAGTATCGGAAACGAACGTACCGCGGCTATGACCTTACCGTACCTTGTACGCGTTTGCTAAAATAGAATTCGTTTCGACTACGGTGCTTTGGGAAACGCGATTGATGAATGCACTTCTCGAATTAACACTTTACGCTATTTTATTTGCATCTTGCCACGGCAAATAATACTTTATCTATTATATAGATATATAGATAGATGTATAAATGTATATATATAAAAATATAAATATAAATGTATAATGCTATTGTTCTGAGAATAAAAAAAATATATTAAATTAATGTACATAATGTATTTTAATGTAGCGTATCGTCAGTTCATGATTCACTTTTGTAGTAATAACTCATAACAGTCGCATTAAATCAGTAATCATCGGTAGTTTGTATTCTTGCTAAGATAATCTTGTATGATCATTCGTTACATACTGTTCGACACTGCCACCATACAGTCGTAATTGAGACCGACGAACTCGTAATACGTAGCTCGAGGGGTTAGTAGACGCCATATGTTGGAAGAAAGGAAATTTGTTGTCCGAACCAATAATATAATGGTATCCGAGGTATACGGCTTGCAAAACAGCAGCTTCGAGTCACTTGTCTACTAGTTTGTTTACATCCGCGGCGACGAGGCGCGCTCGTGGCACTCCGTCGATAACTTCCCCATAAAACGGGGAAGTTCCGTTAAAGAAAACAAAGCTGTCCTTCGAGTCTCCTCTGCATCTGCGGCTGCAGAGAAACAATCGCCCCTATGTTTTTTGTCCCCTTCTCCGAGCTACACAAGCTGCATTAGATATTTAAGGTTAGGCTTCCTTAGAAATATTATTCTTCGAATAACGCTACATAAAAGTCTTCGTATAGCAGTACTACTAGGTAGTAGAATTTATTAGTACTGCAATTAAAACGAAGTATTCGAAAAAATTATTCAATTCGTTTCACGCATCTCCTACTTTCTAATATATTCGTTCTATTTTTATTATGTGCAGTTACATGTTTCCAAATCGTTATTAGATTGTGAATCTTACGCATTTAGGTGTACGTATGTATATTTTCTGCATCATCGTACGTTATAAATGCATACTATCCGCAGTTCGGTTACTACGTGTATACTACAAATAAAATTGACCAAATTTTATTCCCGCGTACGAAGATTTTTTGTGGGTCGCTCTGTGTGATAGATACGGGGATAATATCTCTATGCATTTCTCTATGAATTTCTCTATGAATTTCTCTATGCGTTTCTCTGTTTTGGGTAACGCAACGGCGACCGCCGCCTTTTCCTTTCGCCGGTAGTACCTCTGAAAGCGAGCAAGCTTTCGTTTGCGGTAACGCGGTTCGTTAAACGAAACGCGCGCGCGTCAATGTAGGATTTACGAGGACGGCGTGTGCAACTGTGCAGGCGTGCACAGCAGCTTTGCGGTGTGCTCGCACGCACCAGCAACGGGAA